CTCTGGCATAGGTAATTTACAGTCACTTGTGACCCTGTTTCCCCGCTCCCCCCTGGGTGTGTCATAAACCAGATTCTCCAATTGAGCATGTTCACAGGCTGGGTGTCATAACAGATCACAGATAATCAGAGTTGGAAGGGACCTCGTAGGTCATCTAGTCCAACCCCCTGCCCAAGCAGGAGATCCTACACCATTTCTGACAAATGGCAGTCCAATCTCTTCTTGAAGGTCTCAAGTGATGGCGCTCCCACAATGTCATCATTCACATTCTCTAATTAAATATATTTGCGGGCAAAATCTCTGGTATTTTACTTACAATCTTTTAAAGATAAGAGTTGGAATGTACTTTCGCTTTCCTCCCCTTTTTATGGCAACTACTAAAACAGGCATAGGAATATTTTACGAGTTGACAGCAATATCTTTATGCAGCTAATCGTCAACTTATGACCGCAATTGAGCCCAAAATTCATGTTGCTAAGGGAGAAATTTGTCAAGTGAATTTTGCCGCATTTCCCTTGCCATATTTGGGTTTATTTTGTAAAAAGCTTTTTTTATTTTTTTCACATTTCAAAAACATCTTTTTTTTAGTGAACAGCATGATTCCAGGTTTTCCCATTTCCATACAAACATGACCTTGATTACATATTCATCTTTCACACTTAGTTTCATATCCTATCATTTCTTTACATATTTCCTATTAATTTTCTGAAATACTTTTCTCAAACTTATTTTATATATTTTCTATTCATTTCTTAACCCATTTCTTTTAACTTTAAATAATTCTCATATCTTTATATTTATTGTGCTTTATACTTTTATCTGTCAGGTTTGCAATTGCATCGCATATTCTTATTCCATCATTTCAAAAACTCCTTCTCAATTCAAACATTTCAAAAAAGTTTTCCCCACATTTACCAATTAGAGTGTACTACCCCTATACCTTATATATCATTTGGTTAACTCCTCTTTAATTCCCAATAATCATTTAACTTTAATTATCACCTTAAAAATTAATAACAATAAACTCCTAGCAACTACATAACACATATACATTTTAAGTCAGATTCCGCAACTTGCCATATTTGTTAAGTGAATCATTGCAGTTGTTCAATGAATAACCCAGTTGTTAAGTGAATCTGGTTTCTCCATTCACTTGGTCACATGACCCAGGGACCCTGCAACCATCATAAATGTGAGTTCAGTTGTTCAAGCATCCAAATGTAAAGCACATGACCATGAGGATGCTGTAACGGTCATAAGTGTAAAGAATGGTCATAAATCGCTTTTTTCAGTGCTGTTTTAACTTCAAACGGTCACTAAGTGAACTGTTGTAAGTTGAGGGTTATTTGTACTCCTTTGAACTGCTGGAATCTGCTGATTACCCCACAGTTTGACAGTTAAGTTAGTAAGTTAGTACTAAGTTAAGTTAGCGACAATGTTGTTAAGAGAAGCTGGCTTCCCCATTGAGTTTGCTTGTCTGAAGTTTGCAAAAGAGCATGAGCATGGCACAAAAGCAACAAAGTCACAAAAGTAGGTAAAGTCCCTTTAATACCTCCAACTTGGCCCCCAATGTCCTGTTATCATCGGCTGGAGAAAAAACTCTCCCAAGAACAGTTTTTAAAGAGAAGAAATTCCATCTGAATCCAAAGTACATTTAAATTATAAATAAAAACCAACACAAACCACGCTGCAGCAATTAACGAGACAGGGCAGGATAAGGAATTGCAGACTTCAAAAGATAACGAAACACACACAGTTGGGAGGATGCCAGAACTCAGATAAGACGTGACAAACAAAGATAGTGCACTCTTTGCTTCCAGCAAGGTGCTGTGCATAAATGTCCTTTTTAAATCCTGTTTTCCCAGCTGCAGCTAATGAAGGGAATCAGGGCCTTTTTCTCCCCCAAAACCCACGTTGCTCCCTTATCCATTCCTAGGATGGATAAGGGGGTGGGCCTGGGTCTTCCTCTGAATGCCCAGCCGGACTGTGCCCTTCCCCAGTTTCTTCCACAGCCACCGGAGCCACACTCCCACATCCTGTCAGCTGTTCAACCTCCCCCTCGGAATCAGATTCCAACAGGGGTATGACAGGGCATCACCTCACCCTTGGACACTGCAACTGTCATTAATATGAGTTAGTTGCCAAGCAGCCAAATTTTGATCACATGACCATGGGGATGCTACAATGGCCGTAAGTGTGAAAAACATTTACGTCACTTTTTTCAGTGGCATTGTAACTTCAGTGGAGCAACTTGCCTCCAGAACTTGTGAATGCTCCAACACTGGAAGTTTTTTTAAAAGGTGTTGGATAACCGTTTGTCTGAAGTGGTGCAGTGTTTCCTGCCTAGGTAGGGGGTTGGACTAGAAGACCTCCAAGGTCTCTTCCAACTCTGTTGTTCTATTCTATTCAAACAGTCACTAAATGAACTATTGTAGATTGAGGAGTGTTGTATTTGTATGGACTTGAATTGGAATTGGCATCCTTCGGTCTCAAGAGACGAGAGCATCGTGCTATAAAATGGGTAACTGCCACTTCCTGTGTTGTTCAATGCTGTATGCAAAGCTGCAGTGTCCTCTCCAGACCACGAGGCCTGGGTAATTTAACATGGAGGATAAACTGTTACCCAAGCGGCAGATCTGAGTTGTAAATTTAATTTTACGAAGCTTCTCCTCTGATAATACTGATTTGCAAACCAGGGCATTCAAAACCTTTGCTAGACCAATACTTGAATTCAACTCTGCTGTCTGGAATCTGCACTGTATATCTGACATAAATACAACTGAGCGATTCCAGAAGTATTTTACCAGAAGAGTATTACATTTCCTCTGTTTGCAACAGCAGACTTGAGATTCTAGGCTTAGACAAACTTGAACTACGCCGGCTAAGATTGGACTTAAAATCATATGTTACAACGTCTTACAAGTTAATGAATATTTCAGCTTTAGCCACAACAGCACAAGAGCACACAACAGATATAAACTTAATGTAAACCACTCCAAACTTGATTGCAGGAAGTACGACTTCACCAACAGAGTGGTCAATGTCTGGAACTCACCACCTGATTCTGTTGTTACATCCTCTAACCCCCCACTCCTTTACCCTCAGACTAACCTCTATCGACCTCACCCCATTCCTAAGAGGTCCGTAAGGGGCGTGCATAAGTGCACAATCGTGCCTACCGTCCCTGTCCTATTGGTCCCCAATTATTAGTTCCTATTTCTTCTGTTTAAACTTATGTTTATTCTTAATTCTATTGTATTGTAAGCTTTTGACGAAATAAATAAAAAGACCCCCCCCCACTTTCCACATCATAGAATACATACATTGTATGTACTAATTGTTTCAATTGAACTGTGTCCTTTTACAAATCATCAGATTTCTTCCCATGCTAACTTATTTTTTTCTTTTTCTATTTCAACATATGACGCTCTTTTCAATTCCTACACTTACCTATTGTTGGATGCCTTATTTCCCTGAGGTTATACATGGGGCAGAATGGGGTTTTTTTTCCCCCTCACCAATCAACTTTTTCTTTGAACTTTCTCTCTTTTTTTTTTACAAACTATAAAAGGAAATGCAAAATGGGGCAAAATTCACTTAGTCTCACTTAACAACAGGAATGTTGGGCTCAATCATGGTCATAAGTCAAGGACTGCCTGTCATCCTTGGTTACCTCAGCCTGAAAAAGTTCTTATCTCGCAGGTAGAAAATTACAGCGACTCGGGTGTTACGGGAGAAAAATTCAACATTCCGTTCTTACAAGATTGTGATCCAACGTAAAAAGCAAAATTAAGTAACATAAAATACATCAATAACCCATATTATTTGGCAAGTATAACAAGACTAGCACTGATGACGTTACCTAGTTTGGGTAATGAAATGTCTGAAAGAAAACAACAAGCTCAGAGAGCACCAGCGGTCCCTCAAGTATAACAAGGCCCATGTTGCTTTGCCCTGAGAATGACAGCCAATTTAGGGTCGTGATTGAAGGACTAGAAACCCTGAGTTTTAGTTTTGCCTTAGGCATTAAGCCAGTTGGATGACTTTGGGCCCATCACTCTCTCTCTCTCTCAGGTCTAGAAAGAAGACAGCAAGGGCAAGCAATTTTTGAAAATCTTGCTAAGAAAACAGAATATATTTGTCCATAAAGCTGCCAAGAATCCAGGCAGACTCGAATAGCAAAATGAACAGGACAGTAAAAAGGGCACTGGAAAATATTCTGAAATGAAAAAGATTTTTGCCAAGGTGTTTTGTCTGTGAGTGTGTGTGTGTGTGTGTGTGTGTGTGTGAAAAAGTCCAGATAGCTTTATGGTTGATGCCCTTATTTATAAAGCTTATTACGTTGTACCATTGTGTTTATTTTTTTTAGCAATCTTAAGAAATTTTAAGTACGTGTATGTATTTGTTTCAGCCTGCTATTGTTGCTTTTGTTTCTCTCACTGCAGTTTTTCGATCCTCTCCCTGTTTGTAGGTTCAGGATTCCAATCCATGGTGCCTCTAAAAAGCAATGTTTTCCAAATTTGGCAACTTAGAGATGGGTGGACTTCAACTCCCAGAATTCCCTGGCTGGCTTGGAAAAACAGTGTGCTCTAAAACCAATTCCTCCGCAGCCTATTAAATTAACCAGATTTTCTCCTTTCCAGCAAATGCTCTCTGCCCCCATTGCAAGTATGAAAACATTAAAAATATGAACGCACGCAGAGACAAAAGCCTATTTTAATTAACCAAAGTCGTGTCAGTCACACAGAAGGGATGAAGGAAGTTCAGAACAAGTTGTGAATCACACATTTAGCTCTTTTAGAAGAACGAGTGTTCCTTAGAACAGGGGTCTCCAACCTTGTCAACTTTAAGACAAGGCATAGCTGGCTGAGGAATTCTGGGAGTTGAAGTCCACAAGTCTTAAAGTTGACAAGGTTGGAGACCTCTGCCTTAGAACATGAAATATATTAATTATCAGAATTCCAAGTGCCTTAATTCATGGTCTCCAGGATCCTTCACAGGTTGGGAAGCATCCTAAAAGGGGAAAGAGACACACCCTTTCAGTAACTCGAGGGCATCTCCAGCTAACGCTGTCTGTTCGTTCGGTTGCAGGTATTTCCCAGGTGGTGAAGGACCATGTGACTAAGCCCACCGCCATGGCGCAAGGCAGAGTGGCCCACTTGATCGAGTGGAAGGGGTGGTGCAAACCCATCGATTCTCCTGCGACTTTGGAAAGCACCTTCAACTCCTATTCGGATCTCAGTGAAGGAGAGCAGGAGGCCAGGTTTGCTGCAGGTGGGACTGCGAGGGAGGGGAGATCAGGTTGTGGGGGGGGGCAGCTCTCTCAGGGAAGTCCCTCAGGCTAGATCAGTGTTTCTCAATTAAGATGTGTGGACTTCAACTCCCAGAATTCCACAGCCAGCTTGCATGGACTTGAATAGAATAGAATAGAATAGAATAGAATAGAATAGAATAGAATAGAATAGAATAGAATAGAATTCTTTATTGGCCAAGTGTGGTTGGACACACAAGGAATTTGTCTGGGTGCAAATGCTCTCAGTATACTTAAAAGAAAAGATACATTCATCAAGAGTCAAGAATCATCAGGTACAACGCTTAATAATAGTCATAGGGTATAATAGGCAATCAAATCATACTAGGAAACAGTCAATAAAAATCGTTAGGATACAAGCGACAAAGTTACAGTCATACAGTCACAAGTGGGAGGGGATGGGCGATAAGGAGTGATAAGAAGATTAATAGTAATAGTAGTGCAGACTTTGTAAATAGTTGAACAGTGTTGAGGGAATTATTTGTTTAGCAGAGTGATGGCATTCGGGGAAAAATTGTTCTTGTGTCTAGTTGATATGGTCTGCAGTGCCCTATAGTGTCATTTTGAGGGTAGGAGTTGAAACAGTTTATGTCTGGGATATGAGGGGTCTGTAAATTTTTTCACAGCCCTCTTTTTGACTCGTGCAATATACAGGTCCTTGATTGAAGGCAGGTTGATAGTAATTGTTTTTTCTGCAGTCCTAATTATCTTCTTAGGTCTGTGTCTGTCCTGTTGGGTTGCAGAACCAAACCAGACAGTTATTGAGGTGCAATGACAGACTCAATCATTCCTCTGTAGAACTGAATCAACAGCTCCTTGGGCAGTTTGAGCTTTCTAAGTTGGCGCAGAAAGAACATTCTTTGTTATGCTTTTTTGATGACGTTTTTGATGTTAGGTGACCATTTTAGGTCTTGTGATATAATAAAATCTAGAAATTTGAAGGTCTCTACTGTTGATACTGTGTTGTCTAGTATTGTAAGAGGTGGTAGTATGGGAGGGTTTCTTCTAAAATCTACCACCATTTCTACGGTTTTGAGTGTGTTCAGTTCCAGATTGTTCTGGTTACGAGGCAAGTTGTACAACCTCCTGTCTGTATGCAGATTTGTTGTTGTCTCGAATGAGACCAATCACTGTTGTGTCATCTGCAAACTTCAGTATTTCAACAGATGGATCGTTTGAGATGCAGTCATTGGTATAAAGGGAGAAGAGAAGTGGAGAAAGCACACAGCCTTGGGGAAGCCCTGTGCTGATTGTACAGGTATCGGATGTGATTATGCCTAGCTTCACCGGCTGCTTCCTGTCTGTTAGGAAGCTTATGATCCACTTACAAGTGTGTTCAGGTAACTCCCATAATTCCACAGCCAGCACGCATGGACTTCAACTCCCAGAATTCCACAGCCAGCACACATGGACTTCAACTCCCAGAATTCCACAGCCAGCACGCATGGACTTCAACTCCCAGAATTCCACAGCCAGCACACATGGACTTCAACTCCCAGAATTCCACAGTCAGCATGTATGGATTTCAGTTCCCATAAATTCACAGCCAACATGTTAGTTGGGGAATTCTGGGAGTTGAAGTCCACTGTTGCCAAGGTTGAGAAATACTGGTCTAGACTACGGCAGAAATCTAATGCCAGATCTCAGCCGCAAGAGCCAAGGCTGATACTATCTGGAAGCAAAGAGTACTTTCTCCCTCTCCCTCCCTCCCTCCCTCCCTCCCTCCCACTCTCTCTCTCTCTCTCTCTTTTCTGCCATCCAGTGCTTTGTGTTCCTTTTCCACCAAATCTAGGTAGGGTCTCCTGCTTGGGCAGGGAGTTGGACTATATGACCTTACAAGGTCCCTTCCAACTCTGGTAATCTAACCTAATCTAATATAGGCACCATACTTTCCAGTGTTTGAGAGAGAGGATCACACATGCACAGCTGCATATTTTTTGTATGTAGTATTGGAATAAATATCCATCTGGTTCAATTCCAAGCTGGGAGAAAGACACTGGAAACATGGAGGCTGACTGGAAAGATGGTCTAATGAAGCAGAACCATCAAGCACATGGTCCTGGTGCGGCTGACCACATGGAGTTGAGAGAGAGAGAGAGAGATTTATACCCTCTCTTGGGCCTTGCTCTTGAGCTTTCTGTTCCTGTGCAAGAACATGTATTCTATGGGTTGCTGTAGGGGGTCACAGCTAACTTTGTAGGCTGTCTGAGTCCTAGGCTTGGTTGAAGCCTGCTGGGTGATGCAACGTCCTTAGACTGTGCCACGTGGTGAGCTCTGCTGCTAGATAGACTAATCCGGTGATGGGATTCAACATTTGTTACTACCGGTTCTGTGGGCATGGCTTGGAGGACGTGGCGTGGCTTGGCGGGCGTGGTGTGGCTTGGTGGGTGTGGCAGGGGAAGGATACGGTAAAATCTCCATTCCCTCCCCACTCCTGGGGGAAGCTTACTGCAAATTCCCCATTCCCTCCCCACTCCACTAACCTGCTTTCCAGCTCTGTTCTCCTGTGCAGGGCAACCAAAGAAGACCCAGCCAATCAACTGGGACTCAGAAGGCAGAGAAGAGATGGGGGCGGGGCCAGTCAGAGGTGGGATTTGCCGGTTCTCCAAACTACTCAAAATTTCTGCTACCGGTTCTCCAGAACTGGTCAGAACCAGCTGAATACCACCTCTGGGCCAATCCTATTATATCCTGGAGGGTCATGTCTCAATCCCATCACCCTGGAGCTGGAGGCGTTTTGTCTTGCATATAGGCTGGCCCAGTTTTTCTTAATGGGCACTAAATATCTGCTGGGGGGGGAGGCAGCTGCTCTCTGTCTTTAAAACATGTTTCTTCTTTAATCATCCAGGGAAATACAACATTCCACCTTTTTAATATTTCTCGAAATATTTCATTCTTCTAGGAGAGGGGTATTAGGCACGCGATGGCTCAGTGGCTAAGACGCTGAGCTTGTCGATCAGAAAGCTTGGCAGTTTGGCGGGTTCGAACCCCCAGCGCCGTGTAATGGAGTGAGCTCTCGTGACTTGTCCCAGCTTCTCCCAACCTAGCGATTCAAAAGCATGTAAACATGCAAGTAGAAAAATAGGGACCCCTTTGGTGAGAAGGGAACAGTGTTCCATGTGCCTTCAGTGTTTAGTCATGCCGGCCACATGACCACAGAGACGTCTTCGGACAGCGCTGGCTCTTTGGCTTTGTCATGGAGACGAGCACCGCCCTGTCTAGAGCCAGAAATGACTAGCATGTATGTGCGAGCGGAACCTTTACCTTTAGGGCAGAGGTGGGAGTTAACTTTCTACAGTAGTAAACCCTATTTAGTTGCTGGTTTGTGGTGCATTTGGGGAAAGGCCCATCTCTACTAAGCAGCTGCACAGTAGTGGGAGGCAGATGGTGTAATTTACGGGCACACGGGTTGCGTTTCCTCTGACCTTCTTACTCACGGTGAAGTTAACTATTGCTTATTCAATTAAGCCAATTTTCTGTATGCTCACGCGATACAGTATTCGGATCTATTGCTTCATTGGTGAATGCAGCTGTTGAACGGCTTTGTTCCTGGAACTTCTCCGCTTTCAGATCTTCTGGAGAAGTTCAAGAGGCCATTTGATGACCTCACCAGAAGGGAACTCATCCCATTTTTAGTGTTCTTTCGGTGAGCGGTCTGAGGGTGGAAATTGCACATGGCAAACTTCTAAGCAGCCATTTGGCTACAATTGCCATCCTTAAAACTTTCCTTTCAACCCCTATCCAAATCAGGAGTGAGATTTTACGGGTTCGGATGAACCAGATGTTACATTGGCATCTGGTTCGCCAAATCGGTATTTGAACCAATCGGCTGGCTCCGTCCACCCCATCCCGCCCCTCCCAGGAGTCTCCATACAACCCATTTTTGATGCAGGTAAGCGGAGGCTCTGGGGTGGGGTGGGAAATGGCCGTACCGGAAGTCACAAAATGGGCCTGTTTCTGGCTTCCAGAGGGCCTCCAGAGCCTGGGCAAGGCCATTTTCACCCTCCCAGAGGCCTGAGGGAAGCCCTAATTAAATCATGATTCTCGAGCCAAACTTCAAAAAACTTCAAAGGATTTATTAGAGGTGACGTACTGGCACTGCCCTGTATGAAGCCAACTCTGGCATAGGTAATTTACAGTCACTCGTGACCCTGTTTCCCTGCTCCCCCCTGGGTGTGTCATAAACCAGATTCTCCAATTGAGTATGTTCACAGGCTGGGTGTCATAACAGATAACAGATAATCAGAGTTGGAACGGACCTCATAGGTCATCTAGTCCAACCCCCTGCCCAAGCAGGAGATCCTACACCATTTCTGACAAATGGCAGTTCAATCTCTTCTTGAAGGTCTCAAGTGATGGCGCTCCCACAATGTCATCATTCACATTCTCTAATTAAATATATGATGCAGATAAGCGGAGGCTCTGGGGGGCGGGAAATGGCCATACCGGAAGTACCGGAAGTCACAAAATGGGCCTGTTTCTGGCTTCCAGAGGGCCTCCAGAGCCTGGGCGAAGCCTCCGGACCCTTGGGAAGGCGAAAAACAGTCCTCCTGGAAATTCTGATAGGCCACACCCACCCATGGCCATGCCCACTCAGCAACTGGGCAGCGAACCGGTTGCTGGTATTTTTGAATCCCACCTCTTGCTCCAAATGGTATGAAACTCATACTTCAAAAATACATCGATTTTGGTGCCTGTTTTTTTGAGAAGGGGGGGTGTAACCTCACTGGAGCCCACATAGGCTTTGTAAATTGCTCACCTTAGCTTGACAAAGTTGGCTGATGCCGAGGGAAAGAACTACTGGTAGATAGAACCAAAACAAAGGAGAAATGAATTCCAGGCTGGTGTTTGGAGATCAAAGTCATGATTGTTTAATTGGATTTTGACTGGATATTTTATAAATGTTTCCCAGTGCTCATTTGCTACCTTAATCAGATCCTAGTAGAAGTAAGTGTACGGAGTG